GCTCCCCATCTGCCGTGCCCCCACCTGCCGTCCCCACCTGCCGTGTCCCCATCTGCCGTGTCCCCACCTGCCGTGGCCCCATCTGCTGTGTCCCCGTCTGCCGTGTCCCCACCTGCCGTCCCCACCTGCTGTGTCCCCGTCTGCCGTGTCCCCACCCAGCTGTCCCTGGCCGCTCCTCTACCTTTGATAGGCCACAACGTAGGTCACGTTCTGGGGGTTTCCAGGCCCAGGGAGCCATGTCAGGTACACGCTGAAGTTCTGGGAGAACAGGGTCACATTCTGGGGAGGGGCCAGCTGGGACCTCCCTGCGGGGACAAAGAGGTCATGAAGCCTGGAGCTCCTGGCCGGCCTTGCCTGGGCCTCTCCGAGCTGAGGAGTGATAGGCAGTCAGCCCATGGAGCTGGAGGAACCAAGAGGTAACGACTGGGGACCTGCATCTGCTCCCCCTCCTCAGGGCTCAGTGGCCCATCTGTGCCCCAAGAAGACGCTCCCGTCCACTCTGAAGCAGGACCACGAACAGGAAGCCTGTTCTAATGAGCTTTGGGAGGGGGGCTCTGCTCAGCTCCCAGCTGTGGCCCCGGAGCCGCCTGGAGTGGCCCTGGCACAGTAGGGGCGCAGTAAGGGTCATGTGAGGGAAGGGATGAGTGTTACCACAGCTCCGATCACTTCGAAGCCTTCCAGCCTTGGCATGGTGGGTAGGGCGCTGGATCCCACATGGCCGACTGCAGGGCTGAGTCCAGGACCTGGGAGCTTGAGAATCAGGCCGGGCGCATGTGCGTGTGTGCCCCAAAACCCAAGAGAAGCATGGAGGAGACTGGGGTATGGCCGTCCCCACCATGGGGTGGCCTCTCACTTCCGCTCTCTCTCCTCTGTCTTGCTGTCTGGTGAGCACATGTGCCCTATAGCAAAAACCAAAACCAAACCAAACCATAAACAAACCAACTCCCAAGCCCCAAAGGCTCCCAGCGTCATGTGAGAGGAGGACAGGACATAGGCCCCTCACGGAGTAGCCCTAGCCCGAGGCCGGAGGTGAGCCCCTGGAGGCTTCTGTCCCACCGGCGGGCTTCCCCTGCCTCCGCGGTTAAGCAGACCAGCTGGCACTTGCTGGGAACGGCCCGCGGCCTGGCCCATCACAGAGACTGCGTCGCCACGGACTCCCCACTCCTGCCTCGCGTGGCCTGGGGTGGGAGGCTGCCCTCCTGCCCTCCTGTAACCACCTTTGGACTCACTTCTCATCACGGTGGCATTCTGCATTTGCACCTTCCATCTGAAGACGCGAGGGCTGCCCCAGGCCAGGTTTTCTCCAGGGCACCAGGGAAAACACAGGGTCAGTCCCCACAGCAGAGTAATGGAGCGGGCCAGACGGGCACCCCAGGCGTCACCCGCCTGTGTGAGCAGTCCCTGGTCGTGGTCAGACAGCCAGGCATTTGCTGTCCAGCAGGTGAAGGACCATCCGAGACGGCTTACTGTGACACCCACGTCCCCTCCCTGCTCTTCTCAGTATGGCGGGGCACTAGCCGCTCTGGTACTGGTACTCTACTGTCAGGTGCTCTCAAAACACCTTGTCCCCTCCATCCATTCTCCTTATAGCAGCAGGACTTACAACCCAAGGCAGATCATGTCTCTCCCCTGCTTAAAACCCGAGGGCGGGCCAGCAGGTGTCATGGTGGTTAAGGCACTGGACTCCCATATGGCTGACCAGGGTCCGAGTCCCGAACCTGTTGGCTTGCTTTCAAAAGGCTCACTCCCCCACCCTCTGCCCCGGCAGGTGGTGAGCCACACATGCCCTATTGCGAACTTTAATAAATAAATAAATAAGCCTACAGCCTTCCGTCTCATGCAACATAAAGGTCAGCGTCTCTAATCGCCTCTAAGTCCGACCCCGCCCGGCTGGCCACCCCCTGCTCCCTCCCTGTCCTGTTATGCTGGCCTTCGGCTCTCCCTGGAGCACCCCAGGCTTGCTCCCACCCCTGCGCCTTTGCATACTCTGCTCTATCTGCGCTGACGGTTCACCCCCAGGTCCCCACCCAGCTCACTCTGCTTCGTTCACACTCCTCTGACGTCGCAGTCCCAGCGACACCTCCCCTGACCACCTTCACCTGGCTTCTGCCTGCCCTGTACCCCTGTCCTCTGACTGTCACCCCTCAGCTTCTGAAACATGCGTCTGATTACACCACTCCCCGGCTTCACGCCCTTCCCCTGGCCTCCGGATAAAGTCCATGCTCCTTATCGGCGTGCGCGAGGCCCTGTTCAGTGTGGCTGACCTGGCCGGGCCACCACATTGGGCTCTCCCTTCCGGCTTCCCCGCAGCTTGCCAGGCTGCGGCCTCTCTTCCTGTTGCTGTTCCCGACCGGCGCATTCTCTCGGACATCCTGACTGCCTGGTGTTCACCGTCTCATCTCTGAAAAGCGATTCAAATGCCGCCTTCTCCAGGGAGTCCTGGACGTCTCCAGGAGAGGTGGTGACGGCGGTGTGTCAGCAGCCCTAGTGTGTGTGTGCTCTGACCACGGCCAGGTTTGCGCACCCTCTCTTAACCCTCACACCCCCAAGGAGCAGCGCACTGGGGACGGGAAAACGGAGGCCCTGTCAGCCAATCGGCTGTAGAATCAGGGTTCAAATCCAGGCTGAGTCGACCCCAAGGTCTGAGTCCTTGTCCACACTCCCTCCTTAGGGCTTCATGAGGGAGAGCTGGTCTTATTTTTTGGGGGGGGGGGATTTTCGCCATAGGGTGCGTGCGCTCGCCAGACAGACAGAGACATAGAGACAGAAAGAGAGAAATCACCCCCCAGGGGGGATGGTCATGCCGCAATCCCTTCTCCTCCATTCTCCTCTTGGGATCTTGGGCACGCATGCACACGCGCCCGGCGTGAGTTTTAAGCCACCGGGTTCAGGACGTGAACTGCGGTCGACTATGTGGGAGTCCAGCGACATAGCCATTACACTAACTGCTGGTTCCCTGGTCTTATATTTTTTAAAAGTTTTTTGCCATAGAGTGCGTGCTCACGGAGAGAGACAGAGATTGACAGAGAGAGGTGAAGTAAGAAACCACGCCCCAGGAAGGATGGCCACATTGTAATCCCTCCTCCATTCTCCTCTCAGGAAATGGCACCTGGCATGGTTTTCAAGTTGCTGGTCCAGGTTTTGAACCACAATTGACCATGTGAGAATCTAGCGCCTTAACCACCACTCCACGGGCTGGCCCCTTTTCTTCTTCTTTTTCTAAAAGTGTATTTATTCCAGGATGGGCGCCTTCTACAGGGTCTTCATGCCACCATCCCCCAGCCCCTCTCAGCATCACGTGTGCACCTGTGGGCGTCCGCAGCGTCCAGGTAGCCGAGCTGGGCCTCCCCACGTGGCTCCCAGCATCGTGCAGTGCCCCCAGCCCGTGCCAGTGTGGCCGGGCCTGCTCAGCTGCTTCCTCCAACGCCTTCAACACTACTCATCCATGGCATCCGCTGACCACTGCCTGCCAGGGGGTTCAAAGAGGAATGCAGCTCTAGCCTGGAGGGAGGCCATGGCCCATGGAGAAACCCACGGGCCAGGGTGAAGATTCCTTCAGGTGGCGGGATGCACCTGGGAGGGTGATGGCGCTCACTGTTCTGCTGAGGGTGGTCAGCTTGGCCCCCCCTGTGGGCTGCCCACTGCTGACCTCGCAGACCCAGATGTGGGTGCCTGACCCTCTTCCTGCGTCCTCTAGCTGGAGTGAGTCACCAGGCTGTCACTGCTCCCAGCTCCTGCACCTCGAGCAGATGACTGGAGAGACCAGTCTCTGGCAAGTTACTTACGAGGTGTCCCGCAGGTCAGGCAGGCCCAAAGATTAAGACTGCCACATAATTAAAAAAAAAAAAAAAAGGCTAGAGTAACTCCCCTCTGTTGACTCTTCAGTGCCAGGGCCAGCTTTGATACTTATTTTTTCTTTTTGCCATAGGACGTGTGTGCTCGCCAGAGAGAGACAGAGACAGAGAGGGAGAGTGAGGAATCACCTCCCCCGCCCCCAGTGGTGATGGCCAAGCTGCAATCCCTTCATTTTCCTCTCAGGATTTTGAGTATGCACACACACGGGCCCAGAGTGATTTTCCGGCCGGGACTCAAACTGTGGCCAACCATGTGGGAGTCCGGCACCTTAACCACCATGCCACCTACTGGCCCTGTGGTTTGACACTATGTGCAGAACCACAGCTGTAGCCAGACGGAGGTGCAGGGTGAAATGCAGTGCTCCGAGAGCTGAGCCACGTGGGAAGGTCCTCGCTTGTGTCCCTGACCCCCAGCGTATGCCAGGCACACCTGTGCCCTGATCCGGGGCTGGCTGACGGGTGATGGCAGTGTCCAGACCCTGGTAAGGGGGCTGTCTCTTGCTCTCTCTGTTTTTCACTCTCTGTGTCTCTCACTCATGGAAAAAGTAAATGAACTTTAAAATACAAAGCGAAACCTCACTTAATCCTTAGGACAGAGCCTTACGGGGTGTTGTCATTCATCTCCCTTCCATGGATGGGGCACAGGCTCAGAGACAAATGGTAAAGAAAGTGTCTGAGGCTACACGGCCAGTCTGCGTAGGAGCGGGATTCGAACCTGGACCCGGCTGCACTTCACCCTAAACCATCACACCAGTTTGTGTCCAGGTTAACTACCCGGCATGGAAAGTATAGCCAGTTCCCACGGGAGAGCTAGTGTGTTTGACAGTGAAACGGCGCACAGGACCCCCGGCCCTGCCACACCCAGCTACGCTGCTCCTCAACCCCCTGCAAAACCCCCACTGCTGCGGAGGGCAGGGCCTGGGGCTCGAGGGCTGCCTGGCGGGTAGACAGCCTGCTCCGTCTGCCCAGCAGAGGCGCCCCGCTTCTGTCCCGTGTCCCTCCCCTCAGCCATCCTTCTTGGCCAATTCCCTGCATTGCTCTGAGCCTCGGTTTCCTCTGGAGACAGCGTAAAGGCTACCTCGTAGGACCATCGGGGTGTGGAGCCTGAACAGGACAGCAGGCGCCCAGCACAAAGCGGCCGCTCAGTAGGTCATGTCCTGGGCTCCTTCTAGCTCTTCACATTGTAAACCTCAGACTGGGTGCTACAGGGGCAGCTGGAGCCTCCCGCCGGGATGTGTGGGCAGTGGAAGCCTACCTTAGCGTGGGGACCTTACCCCAGGGGCTCAGGAAACGAGGTGTCTGGTGAGGGTGACAGCACAGCCAGGCGAACACAGCGCCATCCCCAGGCTCAGTCTGAGGGTTACTGACCCCGTACTGATGGGGAGCAGTGCTTCCGGAAACCTGAAGGAGCGCCTTACAAAGGGATGCTGCTTTTCTTCAAACCTCCCCCGCTGTCCCCCAATTGCCCCAAAGCTATGCCAGTCAGGAAGGCGGCGTGGTTCCCGAAAGGAATTTAACGGCTCAGTCGGTGGACTCCCTCAGCCCTGGGCCGAAGCGGACACTGCAGGAGCGCCCAGCCTGGTCTCCGGTTGCTCCGGTGCAGCAGGCAGCCGCCCACGTCCCATCCCGGGAGCTGCGGGTTCGAGAGTGAGCCCCGACGCCCCCGCTGTCCTCTCGCCCTGCCCCGGCTCCCGCCCTTACCTGGAGCCGCCTGCAGCAGACACAGGAGCAGGGGAGCCCACAGGCGCCACGACGGCCCTGGCCCTGGCCCGGGCGCAGCCGCGCAGCCCGGCCTGGGTCCCAGCCTGCCCCTCCTGGCTCACCGCGGACAGGTGACACGGCCGGCAGCCAATGGGAGGTTGAGCCGCAGGCCAGCCCAGTGGGCCGGGATTCACCCGGGACGTCCCCAGTGGCGGTGGCCCAGGCAGGCAGCGGCCGGCAGTCGCTAAAGCCCGCCCGCCCGTGGTCGCAGTTACCACCACTTGGTTTGTCTAACTTCGGGGGAGACAACTTAGTAGAGCTGTGCATGGAGGCGGG